ATGAAATTCGGTATAGCTTCCTATGAAATTCTAAAATCCAAGATAATACTAACAGTAAAAAAATCCTAGGAGGGGGGATCAGGAAAATGCTAATTTTTTTCGCAAACTCCGAGTGCAAATTCTTTTTGATAAAATTCCATCATTTGGACTCAACATCACCCTCTATGAGTTTCATTTGGGTCCCATGCTCAGAAGTCAAGATTCAGCATACTGAAAAATCCTGGATACGTCACTGTTTGTCAACGAGTACGTCAGGTTGGTCCTGATCACGTATCCTATGAGTGCTAATCTTCTAAGAAATATGAAGGATTCGTTAGTCAGTAAATACAAAAGAAATCGAAAAGAATTTCTTGTATATTCGAAATCATTATCCCATTTCGTTGAGAATATCAAACCGGGTGGGAAAATTTTGCATTTGACAGGCTCTACCATTCCTTTATGTGAAGACAATTGTTATATCTTTCGAATAATTCATTCTCATAATAATAATACCGTTAAATAAAATAAGCATATACGAATATATCAGAGTCTCGTGCAAAGTATTGAAATTCTGATAGAATAATTTAAAAATTTTAGTGTTCAAGATACTTTATCATCCACTTATATTAATCATCAAACAACAAACGAAATTGATAATTCATTACTTGAAACAACAAATCAACTTTCATCATTATCAATAATTGATAATACTATTTTACCAATTGTTCCTCCTGAAGGTACATCTCATTTATCTGACCATTTAACTGATACATCATCTCCAATTCCAACTCAATATTCATCTCAACCACCAGTACCAATACAAATTCCAATAACACGTTTACCACCAACATCAACACCACGTGCTCCAGATCATACATCAACAACATCTCAATTTATGTTAAATAATCTTCAACAGAGTAATAGTGGTATACCTTCATCAGCATTTACTCCATTTAATACTCTTGTTAATTATTCGTAGGTGTTTTTTTTTTTTGATGGATATATTTTATGCTTTATTTTTGATATGAATAGATCTTTACCAAGAGATTATTCTCAAACAACAAATTGGAATCCACAAACATCAAATTATAAAACCAATTCAAAACAAGCAATTTTTCCAACAGGAACATATCAACAACAACAACAACAACCATCATATCAAATACCAAGTCAACAACAACAAATCTTTCTTGGAACTTATCCATATTCTCCTTTATCACCAGCAGTAAATATAATATATGTAGATATATCATTACGAAAAAAAAAATTTCTTTTAGGTTGTTCCTGTATTTGCATCTATTGATCAATGGCCAACAGCTACATTTTCAACACCAATGGAATCTTATCCATATGCAACTACTAGTAACATCAATTTTCTATTCGAATTTGCCTTTAAAAAAAGAATTTGTTTTTTTTTCTATTAGATTATATATCAACGTATCCAAATCAACAACAATTTCATCTACTAACAAATAAATATGGTTAATATTATTATTTGATAATTATTAATATACTAATTAATTTCAATTTTTAGATCCATATTCATATGATAAAGAATTTTTTGCACAGTATGGTCAAACACGTTCAATAAATAATGACATATCATATCAACAACAACAAACATCTTCACTACCACAATCAACAAAAGATACTCATACAACAAGTAAATTATCACCAAATGCAGCTACATTTTGTCAGGGAGCTCCATTGGCAGCATCTCCTTCAACAGCAACAACTCTTTTTTTAAATCCAGTTGGATTTTCCATGCCAAATTACTATCCATCAGTAGCTGGATCGATACATCAAGATCGAATATTGTCATATTCTTCTCTTGATAATCGTGTGAGTAGTTTCTTTTACTTTGATTTAATTTTATTTATAATAATTTTTACTTCAATACTTAATAAGTTATGTGTATTTTACACTAGCTATCACGAGTACCAATAGATTCAGCTCTATGATTTAGTACAGTTGATTACTTTTCCTAGAATTAGTACTCATGAGAGAACCTCTTCAGGTATCAAATCGCTTTTCAATCATGATAATGATCATTTGATGAGTATCAATGCGTAATAGGAAAGTCTAAAATAATTTAATTTTCCGCACCTTCATTCTTGAAAGATCGAAATCTAAATGGGTTTTGCAAAGAAAAGCTCTGATCTCTCTCAGATCACGTGGAAAATCAATTTTCAAGTTTCGACTTCAAACTTTCTATGAAAAAAGTTCTTATGGATATTAGTTCATTTAATAAGGCATAACTTTTCTAGTTTAGTTTACCCTGAGATAAACTAAAATATGCTAACCTCATCGAGAAATTTGACATTGAAAGCCGATTTTTTACGTAACCTGAAGAGAACCACAGCTATTTATGTTGAAAAATCTAATAAAATTTTGATATTTCAAGAACAAAGACCTCGACAATTAGAGTTAAGTATTCTATGGCTTTAAGCAAATTATCTTATACATTATATTAATCAGAACATAATTCAAGAGAGATAACTCAAAAAAGTACGAATCGTCGATTAAATAAATCAAAATATGAGTACTGAAGAATTTATTTCGATGTAATACAAATAAATTCTGGAATAGTTTACTCCAGACCAGGACCGAAATAAAAAAAAGCTTGGTCTCACGCATCTCTAATACCCACCCTTCGAGTACGAGTATCTACTTGAACTTGCTCATATTTCCTTGTATTACATTTCATAAAAATTTTCAATAGAAACATTATTAGAAGTCATAATTATAACTTTTATGACGGTGTATTCATTTGCATTTGTTAGCGTATGTGATTGTTATGAACAGATTTTTTTTTTTCGAAGTGATACTAATTAGTAACATTTCTCTCTTTTGTTGTTTATAGGATAATCGTAGTGGTGCTTCATATAGTAGTACTAACAATCGAAATAATTATTATCATCATGGACAACAACAACAACAACAACAACAACAACGTGCATATAATAACAATGGATCAAATTCTACTTGGCATTTGCAACAGTAGTGCTGAAATACGATCACCACAACTGTTGTAGTTCATCATTTTATTTTTTTTCTTTTTCGTTATTATCAAACAACACCCTTACTTTTTTTTTTTTTGTTCTTCATATTCAACTTCTGTCTATTTCTTTTTTGCTTCGATTAAAGAAACCAGTGCACAGCATTGATTAATTGCATTCGAAAGCAATATCGATGTTAGCTATTTTCTTTTATATGCATATATATATATATATAATATTAAAAACATCTTGTATATCTCGAAAGAACAAAAAAAATGTCTTCTTTCCCTTATTAATCTGTCTTTTTTTTGTTAGTTTTTGACATTTGTCTCACTTCCTTTTTTTTTCTTTTTTTTTGTGATAACGAACATGTTCCTATTTTAATTTTTGTCGAAAACACACAAAAAGAAAAAACACCATATTACGTTCAATTTTTTTTTTCGTCTCATCATTTTTGTTGATCATTGATATTATGAACAGACAGAAAGATGATAATTCCTAATAAATAGAAGACAAGCGTACTTTATTTATTTAGATGTTTAATAGTAATCTTAATTGGGATGGAATACCAACAAAAATTAAACGAGCTATTGAAACAAGTCTTGAACATTTAGATGAACATAAATTTATATTACATGATACAAATATAGAATTTATTGATGATTATTGTTGGGATTTAAGTAAGTAATCAGAAGAAAGAATAATACATTTCGAGTATAAATTCTGCAACCTTTCCAACTGCTATTCTCTATTTGACCTCGTATTTTTCTTATAGGCCAGGTCATATAGTATAGATAAAAGCCTTGGCAACGTTCATACCATTAATCCTTTCTTCTCGAGTTATAGCTATTTCATCCAGTTTTTTGGATCTGTGACAGTTGCTCACATAGGTTTGGGTATGAAGAAAGAAAAGATTGACCTACTTCTACATTCACAGCCGTGAGGAAATGTCTTAACGATTCACTGTCTAGCTCTCCAATTTTTAGCCTATTGTAAGATATTACGAAAAACAATCGTAACAAGGAATTTCTATCTGAAATTTTTATCCATCATAGATCGCACGTTTCTAATGGTATCATGAAAGTTTTAGTACAAATGAATGTTTCTCTCGCGAGATAAGACATTTGCAGAAAAATACTACTTTCGTGTAAAAGCTCGGAAAATAGCCGACTTCTAGGCATCCGATACCTTACGAAGATACTATCGTTCTGAACTGAAACTTTCAGAATATCATAAAGATTACGAAATTTACTGTTGTTGAAAGCTTCTAGCAGAAATTTCTTTTCAGGATTTTGTTCGTAATATTCTGCATTAAGCTAAAAATTCAGTAAAATAACTACTACTCGAAAGTTGCAGATCTAGTGGTACAAACTCTTACAAAATTTTTATTTACACTCTGAATCCTACCTGGGACAAAAATAGAAGCTAAAATAGAACGTATCAGTTGGTTGAAGATATTTCCTTGCTAGACAGGTATTTAGTATCTGTGGAAGGACCTATGCTGTGCAAACCATCGGTTAACATACCAGCTTCACGTCCTCAGTTTTCAAGTTTTATTGTTTATTAATGATGATGCTACGAAAATATACATCAGTTAGAAGACTTATCCGACAGGAATAAGTGTAGGGCCATCTAACGACATAAACTGGGGCATATTAAAATATAGTTGTTTTTTCAGTAGCAATCGATCTCTTTAAAAAAGAGAATATAAAGTTAATAGAAAAATCATAAAAAACTTGATTAAAAAGGAAAATAAACATTTCGAATAGTTAGTTTTGATGAAAAATGGATGATATGGATAGAAGATTTCGATAAAAATGATTGATGTATTTGATTGAGACACTTTTCTTTTAGTTGCATGCCATTTAAAACAACTTCTTTATATGAATTTGGCACATAATAAACTTAAAAGTAAGATTAAATATTTGTTCGAAAAAAACAAAAAATAATTATCATAATTAAATTTCTTTTTTAATTTAGATTTACCATCGCATATTTCAAATCTGATACATTTACAAACGCTTAATGTGACGAATAATCATCTTGAGGTATATATAATTAAATATTATTTTAACAATTAAATCGAAAATTTTTTTTGTGAACAATTTACATATGTGTTTTCTTTCGTTGCAGAAATTACCACCAGCAATAATTTCACTTTCTCATTTACGAATTCTTAAACTTGGTCATAATCATCTTTGTTCATTACCTCGTTCATTTGGTTCACTTAAATCTCTTGAAATTCTCGATTTAACTGGCAATGATTTAAATGAAGATAGTTTAACGAATGACTTCTTTCAATTAAGTAATATATATTATTAGATACGGTGCAGGTTTTGTGACACTTCTTATTTTGCATGTAACTCTGTTAAACATTGATCTTTTCTTTTTTTTTCAAAAGATGCACTATTGAATGTTCTATTCGAATCACAATTTGAGAAATTTTAATAGATCATTAACATTGAACATGTGTATCATCATGCCATTTCTAGAGTCCGTTGGGTTCAAAAATATTGAATCCGGCGGGCTGTAAGTATCTTCTTCGAGAACAAATCGGATAAGTGTATTTTCTGATTGACAACTAAGGTTGTTTTTAATCAAATAAATGTTAGATAAAATGGAGTGTTTTAGACACTGTAAAAAACCAATGCATCTTACGAGATACGTACTGATTTCTTCTCAACGTATTTTCATTGTATTATTTGATTGAACTTAACTCTCTTTTTACTATTTCTTTCAAACAGTTAAGAAAGCTTAATCAAGCGATTTGTACATCGAACTCAATATTTTTAGACCATATATTTGAAAGCAATACAGCAAAAGACAACGTTTTATTTCAGGGCGAAGTTTCCAGATCAATTGACTCAGACATTAGTTTTGTCCTTGTATATAAGATACAGATGAGTCACAATTCTCATTCTCTGAAGGCCATCGTTTGTCTCCAATTAGCTCTAACGAGGTAACATATGTAAGTGTAAAATCGCTTTTGAGTCAAGACTATGCGCATCATGTAGGCGTTAGTGAGTCTAGAAGAAGCCCAAAAGAACAAGGGCTGCTAGGTCTATCTTTCCGAATTATGACCATTTTATTGCATTTTTTACCCTATGCAAGGTACTTCGAGGCAAATGGAAAGAAGGAATTTTGAGCTGAAATTTTGCCCATCAGTAGGCCTAATGAATGTTCTCTTCTTAAGATATTCAATTTTTTTAAATAGTCACCTGTCACAGGCAGTTCACAAAATTCGAGATTCTTGTAAGTCCAATATCTCGAGAAAGGAACATTCGTTTTGGCTGAAACTTTCAGGACATTCTAGGGATCATTAGGCCTACTTATGGGCAAAATTTCTGCTCAAAATTCCTTCCTTTGATTTGCCTCGAAGTACCTTGCATTGGGTAAAAAATTCAATAAAACAGTCATAACTCGGGAAGATAGGCCTAGCAGTCCTTATCCTTTTGGGCTTTTTCTAGTCTCACTAACGCCTACATGATGCACATAGTCCCGACTCAAAAGCGATTTTACACTTACATATGTGACCTCGTCAGTAATACATCTTTTTCTTTACAAAATAGCTATTTCAATGTGTGAAATTTTACACCGAAATGCTATCATTCTCTTTTTCTTGGCATACTTTTATCCAACCGAATTTACCAAAGGTCTAACTGCCTCTACACACTCTGTTCTACAAAAAAATATATTGGTTGCATTTTAATGTGAAGAAATTTTGGCATAATTAGTCTTTCTATAATCAATATTTTCATTATACGTCTACGATCAGACTCAAAGTATCTATCCTACTTCGAATTGCCGCTATACAATTCCGCTGTATTTCGCACAAAAATAGTGTAATTTATTTTTAAAATTCTATTCTTTCTTACCATTTAATAGCACGTGTGATGAACAATAAAATACTTTGTGCTCTACCTGTGCATGTTATTCTTGTAGAACAGACGACGAAGACTTTTTTTATTTACTTGTGAGGACATACAGAAGCTACTCAATTTGTACATTTCTTTACTTTCTTGAAAGAGAGAACAAGAAAAAGAATCTTAAACTAGTGACAGAACAGTGTGTTTTATAGTAGTAGCGAAAAACATCAACCGTACATTTCTGCTGCATCAAGATGTCGACACTTGTGGAAGAATTTCAGTTCCATAGGAACCATTGAGATATACTAGAGAAACCAATTCTCTTTTATTTTCTATCAAATTGCACACTTACTTTCGTTCTGACTGCTTCCGACATGTATGATACATTAACTTTTGATGATCATGCATCATAAAATTGAAGATTTCTACCGATCAAAACAAATGAAGCCATATACCAATCCAGCAGCTTTTACAATGAGATCTACAGCTAACTGGAGGGTAAGCGTGAGTCTGTGGGTGACGATGTACTTGTTCATGTCGTCCGCATCTTTGTTATAATTTTTTGTCTATGCTCTTACTTTAATGAGTCTTGACTATCTATGAATACCATTTACAGCAAATATGATGAATTGTTTTTGTTTTTATTCTTGTAATAAACACTCAAAATTTTGTTTAGCTAATATTTTCATCATGGCTATCATCATCAGAGTACTTATTTTAATAAGAACCAATGGCACTAAAATTGATATTCATATTACTACAGCCGGTATTATTTATACTCATTTCTAATTACCTTATGTATTTTTGCTATTAGACAATATTGGAATTTCAGACATCTATTGTGATAAAATCCAATTAGTAAATAAAAGACAGAACGACTGATTTAGTCCACTTTTGCATGGTTTCTCTTTTAATAGCATAATTGGGTTTCAAGCATTAGTTTTATTTAAACAAGCTAACAAAATCTGAATTTATAATATAATTGATAGGATATGGCTAACAGTATTAATTATGTCCATCTAAAACATACTGGTTATTTAAAGAATAATAGATTTTTTCGGCAGCAAAGTTCAGCACTTACGCAAATATACGTTTATTCGATTTAAATAGCTTCTAGTTATACTATCATCAGCTACATTTCTAGTTCATGGTACGAGAGAGAAAATTCTTTAACTTATGACGTAAACTAGAACCCTATGGGGGTTCAATTTTTGGAACATGTATCCAATCCGAAAAACTTTTATGTTTATTTATGCTAGACTAATTGTTTTTTCCAAATAGAATCATTCGATAAAAAATGAATTTTTTTCTAGAGATATACAGCATGCATCAGAATCGCATCCAAAAGATCTCATCAGTTCTACAACGATATAAAAAAATTTGATGACTCTTGCATACAGTATCGACAAACCCTTCAAATCTACATAGTACTAGGCGCTTGTAAGATATCAGGTGCTACGACTCGAATTGTACTAAGAAACTATGATAACATTGCCGAGCTCTTTTATAATAGTTCTAAAAAATGTAAACCTCTAGTATATGATGTACAAGTGATTATTTGGATGGTGACATCTGTGTTGTATTGATGGAGATGTTTTGAAACAACAAAAAGTAGTAAAATAATTGCTAGCGCTCGTATTTTTGTGATAGAATGTGTTGGAATGAAAACTATTTTCTATGTTCAGCCCATATCATGTCTGTCAGAAAGACAAAATAATTACTACTTATTCCATTATTATTGCATTGAATGTTATTGCTTTAGCATTTTTGAAAGGTTTAATGAAGAACAAAATAGGACAACGGTGTTGTAATTTTCTAGTATTATTTAAGACTATATCATGTAGAATTTTACAGTTAATTTGAACTATAAAAGTGCAATGATATGCATAAGCTCCAATGTACTGTTCCGTATTTTATAGAAAAAAGATAAGTTATGTAAGAATTTTAGATTTGTTGGAATCATCGCTAAGGCGTTTTTTTTCCAGATAATGGAAACAGATAGCTTTATAGCACATTCATTTTTACGTCAGCCATGAACAGTATAGATTGCGTTAGAAAAAAAAAGAACGAGACAAAACCGTGATACTTTTCAAAGTTGGACCACCACATGTTTGCGGATCGGATCGGGCTTCGGGGCTCTAATTCAAGCATGTCTTTAATAACATTACAACTATAGTATATGCTTTTTGTGTAAGGATTTTATAAACCAATGTCTCTCACAAGATTGTACGACGAAATCAGCATATATAAATCATACTTGCAATTTTGCTATTGAGAATTTTCGAAATCTGAAAAATAAAACAAAGATAAATATGAATTATGAAGGTAAGAGATGCATTATTTTTTCGACTTGACGAGAACCATTGACTGTATTAACGTTTATTTGGCTATTATAGAATTCTAATGAGATTATATTAAATGAAAAAAAAAGTGGTTTTATGATAGATAAAGTGTTGTACTTGATGAACCATTTTATATCATCTCTGTACCGGAGGTAACATATGACATATATCTACACGTATATCAATATTTTTAAAGATCAGGAATCAGTATGAGCATGTTACATATTTCTCACCTACGTGATCTTTCTTTTCGGTTTTAGCTCTCGTCATAATAATAATCTTAATGATATAAAATGTATTACTTATTTTATGTAATGATCGATTTGTTGTAGTGAAATATGAATACATTGATAAATAAGCGTTTGTGTCTTTCATATATATTAAACCATGATAACAGTACGTTTAATCAACAGTGTCAAGTATATCATGTCTAGATTACACGTTGTTTATTATTATACAAAAAAATATTGTATATAAATTATACGTGAACAACTTAATCGATATTACAAACTGATTATATTGATATGAGTCAAGCAAATGATAAATAGTCTTCTACTATCATTTGTTTTGAACGATTAAAAAATTTGTTCTTCTTAAGTCTCATAATGCTCATTTTTATACTATCTATTCTCATTTAGTTTCTTTTATCGTTCTAAAATATACTTAATTATATTTTCGAGTTTTATTTCAAAAATAATACATATAGATTTAAAAGAAGGTATGCTATCTTGTTACATTCAAAACTTTTCTATCATTCATTATATATGAGAAATTTTTAAAGGAATAAAACTGCAAGAAAACTTATCAGATAAGGCAACTTCTTCTAGAACACTTGTTGCATATAGCTACCACCTTTATTCTTTTACGTAGATGACAATAACAAAAGTCTTTTGTCTCCATCTTATCAATGACATCACACCACATCTATATATTTAACGTTTTCACTGTTGTTTCATCACATGTTGCTGAGAAGCATTACTCTTTATCAATAAAAATACAGCTTGCTAAGAATGTCTCATGCTATTAGTTTCGTATTATTCATTGTATTATCACTAACGGAAGGCATTTCAGCAGAATGGTGCTATGACGGTTCTCTGTCTTATTATTGTTCTTGTAAGTACGACTTCATCAAGTAATAGTTCTTACCTGTATTCGGTATTTATTTAGCTGGTCAGTCATGTGGTTCATATTATAATGACTGTCGTGGCTTACCAACTTATGCAATTATTGGTATTGTTGGTATAAGTATCGCTATCTTATCAATATGCATTCGATGTTGTGTGCAATTAAATTCTAATAATACGCGGCAAACACCACCAGCGGTACCAATATCAATACAAAATCCAGGACATAGACGAGCCCAAGTTTATGTAACGAGAAATAATATGACCGCACGATCATCAACTATTGTTCCAGTTCACTGTATTAGAGAAGATGCTCCTCCATCTTATGCTGCAGCTACTTCATCAACTACAGAACTTCCGAAATATTAATCTTTTTACTCTATGAACGGTTTTATATAATATGTTATACTTTTTTATGTGATCCTAATGTTCAACAAAGAGAAAAAATAATAATGAAATTGTTTACAGTTGATTATACCATCGAAATCTTGATGCTTTAAATCTAATATATTATAAGGACAATAATATCAACATCTTTATTCTTCAGATTGTTTGAAGGACTCATATCTCTTAGTAGTATTGAATAGTCGAATTTCTTTCTTTTGTGAAAATAAATAGATTTTGAACTATCTTAACTGATATTCTGTTAATAACTTTAATTTTTCAAGTTGATATTTCTTTGATGAATAGTCTAATTGAAATATAGTGTAAATCTTCGCTGTATTTATCGTGACTATTTATTCGAATTGCCATTGTTATGGATTTTCTTTTATGTAATGCACAAAGGATACGATATTTGAATGTGACGTATGTCTGATAATGTTCCTAAACTATATAAGTATTAAAAACAAAAAAACAAATATCTGTGCTAACTGTAAATGATTCATTTCTATACAATATGTAAAGTTGGTTGTTATGAAAAGTAAAACTCTAATTAGAACAATTATTGTACTAACAAATTAGTATGTCTAAAACATGCGAAGTAGTTTTCGAATTACTGCTGTTGTCTTTTAGACGATTCTAATCTATTCAAATAATCAAGCTACTTTGCTATAAATATCCACGATACACTTTATACAACATATATTTAAGTAATCATTGAAATGTCCGCTATGCAAGACGCTGATAAAATAGTTTTATGAATAGGGTATTAGTCTGTTTAATATGCTAACGATGTGGTCTGGTCCATTGGGTGCTCATCTATAATATAATTTCTCCTGTGAGGCTAGTGTTTTCATGAAAAATTAAGTATATCATAATTAACTGCAAAATATCATGTTTTATAGGGAATTTTTTTTTTGATTATTTTTGTAAAAATAATTTTTCGATTTACTTTAAAAATAAAAAAGATCCTATGCAAATGTTGAAATGATCTAAAATGTACTTACGCATTTTGTACTAACGTGTCAATATTAGTATCCTATCTTTTTTATTTTTCAACTAAATCGAAACATTATTTTTACAAAAGTAACACAAAAATTCTCTATAAAACGTTATATTTTGCTTAAAGCCTCACTCGACAACAGCTGAGGCATCGATCTTTGTAATCAGTGAGAAGTTATCTTCAAAACAGATTAAGTCTCATCTTGTTTCTAAGGAGGACATTGAAATATGTTCCTTCGTTGGTGTCTATGAATATCGTATTTGCTAACTGAGTGTACCAATAGAATATCCTTGTGTTATCTTTTTTGTTTATTTCATTTTTTTAATTAAAGTTTAATAGTGATTTCTAATGACATGGTTTAAAATAAGAAAACATGGATATTATTAAATAACGAAAACCGATCATTATTAATCAACTCATATTGTTATTCTTTGAATTCTGTCGATTAATAATATTAATATTAATTTATTTTTTTTCCTATTTACAAAAAAAGAAAAGCTGTTATAACAACAATCTGTGTGGGACTAAAATGTGAAAAACGATCCAGCTGCTGTTGCTAATCACAGGAGATTGCTTTATTCTATCTATTTTGGAACACATATTTTCACTATCCTTTCACTTGATTCTCCAAAATGTAATAAGTAATTCAAATACTAGAACGAGACGTTATTGATATAGATTTTGTTATCATATATGTATACGTTAGTCACGATCTGTGGGGGAGGTGAGAAGAGTGAATCGAAATTTCCACCCTTATATACACTTCAATACTCTGTTTAGATCGTATTTCAAAAAACTATTTTACAAGCATATTTAAATAAGAAATAATAAAATTTCACGGAGTTCTATCGTATGTTTTTTTGTAATATTACTATTACTATTCAAGTTACTATGTTTTATTTTTATAATTCATTTCAAGTTTTTCTATATTTGGTATTGGTCTAGGTAACCATGATTTTTGTTCGTGAACAGCACTTTGTATAAATTCATATCGTTCATTAACTAAACGGTAACGTTTCATGAAATAAGTTTCAAGCCATTCAATAGCAACTTGTGGCGGAAATACTTCATTCATTGATTCAATAAATGATGAAATAAATTTTTTTAATAATTCTATAGATGGTGTTAATTTTTGTAAACATTCTTCGCCACGTTTTATATGAATATAATTATATTTAATATGAAGATCAGTTACATATTTATCAACAAATGATTCAGCTTCTTGAACTTGATTCCAAATTTGAGATAAAGATATCATTGATTCATATATACTAGCACCAGGAAATTTACATCTAAACATAACACAAGTTTCTAAATAAATTTCTATTTATTCTTGATATTAGACGATTGACGAATAGAAAAAGTTTTTTCTGTAAATTAGTTTTACGATTTTACGAATTTTTCTACGTGGTCAATTTTAGGTAGATGCATTTTTTCACAATATTCGTGAGATAATCAAAGAAATTCTCCCGTTAAAAATATTTAAGCGATCATTGTGTGTTGAATATGAAAAGAAAATTGCCTTGTTTTTGTTCTTTTTTTTTACTTCTTATTAAATGTAATAGTTACTTGCGAGCGTCTATCAAGAATCGTAAGAAATGATTTAGAGTTCTTGAGCTAATATTGTTCCAATAAACAATACTTTAAGATGTTAAAAAATGTTCGATGGATTAGTCTTGTCAGTTGATTTTATAAAATAGAAATTTTTTATAATAGTTTTTTGATCTATCATCGTTATGTCAATTTAACATTTTCTCGAGAGAGAAATCTTTTAGTTTTTAAAGAATAGAAAAGTTTAAATCAGCTTGAATGTATTCTTCCTTGAAATAATAAAATCTGAGATAATGCTGAGTCTGTTAAATATGCCACTAATTAAAACTCCATCTTCTAAAATTTTGATCTGCAGAGAAAAAAAAACATCATATCAGTTTCATTTTTCAAGATGGCAAATATCGTAAGAGGATCATTAATCAATAAAAATACACTATAAAGCGTTTGTTTTTGCATTTTTTCGAATCTCCTGTTAATTGATTTATAAAAGAATCTCACCAAGTAACAAATCACCTTTCATAAATGAGTTTTACCTCATTATTGACACAAGTTTAGAACAGTTATATTTTTAAGTATACTTGTCGATGATAACAGCTAGCAAGAATTTGAAAAACACATTTGTGTAGTTGAAAGGATTTTCTATTGGGGTTGCTAGGTGTAAAGATTTCAACAAAACTGCTTCGGTGATTGTCTACAGAAAACTAAGATTTCTAAAACCAGATTTTTGGCTTTCATTCGAAGATTATCTTTTTATACTGCAAATAATTCTAAGCCAGATGAGATGGCATCTTCGATATTTCCATGACCTTCCTTCATCGAACAATATGATTATCCAATGGTATAATGATAAAGTTGGACTTTCTCATTCTTGACAAGCATCGAACAATATTGCTAAAGTCTTCTTATTTTCAATCAAAGTAAAATAATCTTGTTATATATTTAACTTTCACAGGAAGTGCAATAACTAATTATTTTCTTAAAATCATTATCATTGAGTATAATAAATTAAATTTTACATAATTCAAAACTACTAACTTAGGTATGATTTTCGTTGTATGATCTTGAACATTTAAATGAAGTGGTGATGAACATTCCAATTGTTTTTGTACGTAATTGTGTAGTATATTCGGAAAAATATCAATATTTGGAAGACTTTTAAATTGTTCTTGCCATGCAGCTATAGAAAAAGCCATTGATGGAATTGAATAAGGTAATAATTCACATAATGAAAGAAAATGATCATAACGTGACCATCCGGTTAAAATAATTCCATCAAAATTTTTCCATTTTGTTGGAATATATGAATCTAATTGTTTTATCCATGATATTTGGTCTAAACAAAAAACTTGTTAGCACAGTCTCAAAAAGGCTAACATGTGGAACTGACATATGTTTTTTAGCCTCATTAAAGTAATACAAAATACGTTATGCTAATCGCATGACGACTATGGCAAATCAATGCATCACTACTCATCGGTCTTCACATATGAATGGAAAAACTACAAAATTTTGACTTAGAGCTTACACTAAATATGTTTTTATTCGAAAAACATAATGTGAACTCTACGAAAATTTAACTAGAATAAAAATACTTTTTTTTTCTTACTTTGATAGTAACGTTTAACATCACTCGTTGTCGCAATTTCATTTCTTGCACCTTTAAATGCCGTTGCACCCCATAAAGTTTTGAATTGTCCAAACAAATCTGCTTGTGGACCAATAACAAATCCTTCTACACTCATATCTTCTCTATAAGACCATAAAACAGGATTGATTATATTGATTAAATTATATTTTTGTAAAATTTGTAAATTTAAATTTTGTAAAACATCATGCCAAGCGAATAAAATTATATTTGGAGATTTTCCTTTTATGTAATTAGCAATTATACTAAGATGATAAGCAAATAAATCAAAATGTGTTAAAATGCCAGTTAAACGTTTAAATTCTTCACATGCAGGATTTGTTAGAAAATAATAAACTTCATCATGACCAATATGAAAGAAACGTATATTTGGATGTAAACTTAAATATTGATCAATCATGGCAAAAAGTATTGTATACGTTTTATTTATACATGGTGTTATTACTTGAGGATATTTTGGATTTTCACGTAAATCACGAAATTCTTCTAGTTTTAATAAAAATTCTAAATGACCTAGGAAAATAAGAAGACAGATGATCAGAAATATTTTTTTGCGATTGATGTTGAATCTTAAAAATAGAAATCAGTGTACAATTTGAGTCAAGTTACAAACAAATTTGTGGATCTCGAGAGGGTCTACAATCTAAACGTGTTGCAGATATAAGCGACATTTTGAATGTTCTTTTCATTTAAAAGTTCTATAAGAGAGTATGGAAAAACGTAGTAGAATAAGAAGTTATGTATCGCACGATCTTTTCATCTACTTCACCGAATTTTCTTCCTTGATGCCGAACAGCGATGCACATCGAATGTATTTTCTATTCAATGGCAATAAAAAAATCACAGGTTATGTGCATAAGAAAAGAAAGATAAACAAGAAAAAACTCTATCACACAATCGTGTTATCTCAACTGTGGAATATCGACGAAATATCAAGAACAAAAAGAGGTATATAACGTATTCTTCGTTTCCAACTACGACATGAAGACAAGAGAAAAAGATTGAGATATTGGTTTTCTCCAGAGAAAGCGAAAAGTGGCTGGATCAGATCACGAAACTTTGACCCGTGTCGCATGCTGGTAGAAATGTGTCTTTTGATTTTTTTCTTGTTTCTGCTGATATATAGAATGTAGTCATTTTTAGATTCGTTGACATTTTGATTAGGAACATATTTGAAAGAATAAAATCCAGAAAATATCATTTAGTTTTTCTTTTTTTAGGATTAAGCCTCACACACAAGAGATACTGCAAAGAATTTTGTATGTAAAATATTAATCTTAGTACTAGTTAAAATATCAAACATAATATAATTCTCTGATGTCTTCTTTTCATTTATTTAATCTCTTTCTACATCTCACCACCATCTAGAATATGTTTTAATGAACTCTAAGATATTCACGTTGATGCTTACTTAAATTGAGGATTCCATCATTTTAAACTTTTCGTGTTGAGATTATATAGACTGTAGTAGATTGATATATGACTATTTTTCTGATTCATTTAGATCAATAATACGATTAAGTTTCTTTCTCAAACACTAAAACATACAATACTCAGACCAAAAAAAGAGCCATCAGAAAGGAAACAACGAACATCGCCAAATAAAAGATCTTAAAGGATATTAATCTCTTTCCCGCAATAGAAAGCCCAGAGTCTTTTATTCTCATTGTACATTTTATATACATGCTGATTATTTCGCTTACCATAAGTTTGTAATAAAGGCATAATATCTAAATGATTGTCTTTAGCTAGTTGATTAATTTTTCCAATATCATCTTTTGTATAGGCTTGTTTATGTTTAATTGAACTAATAATACCATCAAATGGAAACATATCTTCATATTCTATACAAATTCCTATTGCACCCAATTTATGTAACAATGGAAAAAGCTTTTCAAAATAAGATATTTTAGGTGGAGCACCTTTTAAATCAAAATGAACATAAAGTGATATTGCATGATTGGCAATTTTAATTAAATCAGATTGTGCAATGAAACGAGATTTTTCTATATTAGCTGTATGTTCAATAATTTTAGAATTAATATTCACTAAATTCTAAAAATAAAGAATTAATAAATATGAAATTCTTTAACAAATAGTTACTTTTTTGTTTTTATTATAATGATATTTAAAAAGATTAGTAGGCGCTGGTGTAAATTGATTATTATTATTATTAGTTTTTATAAAATACGTTGTTAAAATAATGAGCAAAAATAGAGATATGGAGACAACAATAATATTCCGAATACCCATAGATCGACGAATGAAAAACATAGCGAATAGTCAGTTATTTGTCAAGCATGAGCATTTTGTTTATGTATCTAAAATCGAGCGAAAATGAAATTCTTGAACTACAACATTAATAATCGATAAAAATGAATCAATTACATCTTAGTTCATTTTAAATTAAATTATTTTATTTGTCATCTGCATTTACAGCAAACAAACAGTAGAATATCTTGGATTGTCAGATTAATATTAATCAATAATAATTCTAACGCGATATTTCTCTAATAGAATCCTTTATTCTAACAAAATTCATCAATAGTTATTATGTTTGGAACGAAGCCTAAATTAATATTGTTAACTTCACGACATGACAAGAATAGAAGAAAAACAAAATAGACTAGAATGTGATGCACGTCTATATTATCATTAGGTTAATGTCGAAATATTCAATATAGTTTTTCGATTATTCTGGTCAATGAAACATATTAGTTGTTAACGAGATACATGGTTACCTATACTATGAACTCAACACATTTTATGACTAAACTCATGTCAGGACGAAGAAAAAGACACTATGAATTCTTCTGTACTGACCATTTTTTTTTCTCTTGCTTCACCTTTACTTCATTCATTGGCTCAATCACAACGCACTTGCACATTGTTCGCTGTCGAATTTATTCAACTTTAATGAGTTCTCTTTTTGCTGTTTTCTTTTTATACGACTATATAGAGAAATAAAAGGATGAAAGAAAAGTAAAAATGTCTGCGCTTGTGTGATACTCATCTTCTTTAAAAAAAGTATCATTCATTAAGTAAAAGTAAAAGTTTTTTTCCTAAATGTTAAAGTTATCTTCAAAAAAAAATTGAGAATGAATATTCGTATGACATTGCTGTTTACTTGATTATCATTAAAATATACGAAGAAAGAAAAACTGATGATCATAGTGCATTGGCATAGTTGACAATTTTGTTTTTTTTTCTTTTGAAATAATAAGAAGTAGACTAAATAGTACTTGTGAATACAGCGACTCTACCATTATTTCTATTGAATCTATGCAGTATATGATGATTGAAAAAAATTGAAATCTTACAGTTCGATGAACAAATTCACTTGGATTGATATTTATTGTTTTTTTTTTCTTTCATCTTTTATAAACAAAATAGTTTTAATATGTTTGTAACGAATAACTTCAGTAGTTTTTCTCACAAACTATCAATTCAAAATTCGATTTTGACTTAATTATATGGAATGATACCTTTAGATGTCCATGCCTGTATTTTCCTTCAAGTGTTATGATTTCTTTTTTTACAAATATTTAAAATTATTTTCGAAAAGTAAATTTTGTCTCCAACAATAAATAATAACATATTGAAAATTGACATCTGATTTTTCGTCTTGAATATTTCAAAAAAATGTTCGATTTCATTTATTAAAGTTTCGGTCAAATCAATAGTAAGCATAGATACATAGATGCTCTTTAAATAACTGTAGTAGCACATCAGGATGTTTGCAATTCATTCCTGATACAATGTACTATTAACAACATAATACATTTCATCAAATAAATGAGTACCGATCAAGCACTGTTTAATATGAAACTCCCAAAAGATATCATGAACAAATTGGATTGGTGCTATGAATTGTTATCAATCTCATTATGAACATGAGCACACGATTTGTTTTTTGTATTAAAACACTTATCGTTAGTCATAAAAAAGCATGTTGACCTTTGGGTTCTTCAATTGTCATAACAAATATTTGTTTCTTTGGTCTAGAAGATATATTTTTTTTTGCTGTTCTGTTGTTGAAGTATTTTGTTCTTAACGACAACTATAGTGGAGCGAGATATTCTGAGGTTGGCACGGTGTCGAATAGAAGAAGAACGAGAAAAAAAAAAGCTGTTTATAAATTATTATTCATTAGTGGAAAAAGTAGCAGATTCATGACTGTGTTTTTTATTTACAGAAAAGAACTATATTTACACATTCTCTCTCTCTTCATCGTTTTGCTTTTAGGATGGCTTTTTACAATTTGTTTTCAATTATTCTCGGTTTCTCCTCAATATTATTATTGACAGCAACAGATGAGACATCTAATACTTTAAATATTCTTATGCCCGATGTTGTTGCTAATCATGTACGTATAAAATTTCATGAATTAATCTAGTATCATGTTACTTGAATAGGTCGATGATTATTTATGTACATCATTTGAAATGAATAAAGATAAAACAACATATATAAGTAAATATTTAAAAAGAAGACAAATATAATATACTTTCAATATGATGATTTATTATTTTTGTTTTTAGCTGCATTTAATCCATCGGCTACATCAAAAGATGCTCATCATATTTTACTTTTTGGATGTACCGAACCAGGAAGTGAAAAAAAAATTTGGTATGATTGACATTAATTCTAATTGAAAAAATAGAAATATTATATTTCTGTCTAGGAATTGTGGTGAAATGGCAAATACAGATGACTCTTCTGCAGAAAGTTATGAAACAGCACCAACATGTGCTTCAGGCTCGACTATTATATATGCTTGGGCAATGGATGCTGAAAAAACTGAATTACCTAAAGGTTAAATGTTCAATAAAAATAAAATTCTTATAAAATTAATGAAATTAATACTTGTAGATGTCGCTTTCAAAGTTGGTGGTTCAACCCCAATTAAATATCTTGTATTACAAGTTCATTATGCAAATCTTGACAAGTTCAAAGGTAGTTTATTCAATAAAAATACATTTGTTTTGTAATATAATATGTTGTTTTAAGCTGGAAAAACTGATCGTTCAGGTTTAATATTAACAACAACATCAAATCCGTAAGTAAATCTATTTTGTTTGCTTCTGATTGAAATTATGCTTGGGAAGATTCAAGAAACTTTTTTTTAAACTGTAAATTCCTAAACAGAACGCCGAAAACGGCTGGTGTTATGCTTTTATTAACTGATGGGGCAATGGGACCTCATTCACTTGGTAATTTAATTTATTTTATGATACTAATTTTGAGAGTGTTGTTTGTTCTTCGCTTGTGTCTGCACTTCTTCATTGTATTATCTATAGTATATCTAAATGTGCTGACATCTTTTTGCTTTTAACCACTAATCGAATTTAAGAGAATTCTGAAGGTAAGTTCACAATAATGAACTACGTTTGCACTGGATCCGATACACTTTCCCGACAGGTATGTTTTGCCCACAAATATTTGAAATAAAAAAAAATTGCAATTTGCTGAAAATATTGCGTGAGAAAATCTGCAATGTCACGATTTTTTCCGAAGATAGCGCCAGAGGATATTCTGACTTTATAAATTTTATAAATTCTATTAAACTCATCTGTTATTCTCTAAAAACAAGGTGTGATACTGAATCTTTTAAGGTTGTGGTGAAGATCCTGAACTTTTTAAGGTTCTGGATTTGGGTACAATTTTTTGAACCTTTTTGGGAGTTCTGGCCAATAAGTACAGAACTGCAAAAATGTTCAGACTTCCCGACTAAACCTTTTCCAGTTCTGGAGAGCATGTCCAGAACTGAAAAAAGGTTCAGTAGGAAACCTTTTTTTTTAAAGCGTACTCGTGAGACACGCTACAATTCAAACATGACTTCAAGTGGATGTGGGTGCCGGTTTTTTCTTCATATCTCGGCACACACACCTCACCTATACCGGCACTCCCCACACTTACACCCACAGCCCAAGAAAAGAAAAAAAAATTGTAGCAACCAACAAAAAGATTAGATTTTGTGTTGTAATTATTTGTATGTATTGTCCTTTGCCCACGGAATACTAATTCATACACCTCCACGTGGTGTACTCTGGAAACTACTAGATTTAGTAGATTAAGATATGGACAAATTTTGTTGGCAAAAATTTCCTGTCGGCAAAGTGAACACGACCTGTTTGCATTTATTAAAAACATTTTTAAACAAAATTTTTATTTTTTTTTTGACTTTGCAGAAGTATTTGAAGTTGCTTGCAAAATTCGACAAGATATTGTAATGCATCCATTTGCTTTTCGAACTCATGCACATAAATTAGGTAAGTAAAACTTTTTTTTAGAGTTCATGTATTTAATATGAATATGAAAACATAAACTTAGGTCTCGTTAACTCTGGTTATCGTGTACGTGGTAAGAATGATGATCAAGAATGGACTGAAATAGGTCGACGTTCACCACAATTACCACAAATGTTTTATCCAGTTCAAAAAGATATAACTATTCAACAAGGTGATTATGTTGCAGCTGCTTGTACTATGTATAATACAAATTCACATATTGTTGAAATTGGGTATGATATTTGTTGCTTTTTTTTTATTACTAAAAACAAATAACTTAATTATTTGCTTTTAGTTCAACTGGTAGTGATGAAATGTGCAATTTTTATATGATGTATTGGGTCGATGGTGACCAATTATTGGATGAAGATGTTTGTACAAGTCCTGGACCTCCACAATATTATTTTGGCCGTGATCGAGTAGGATTTACTTTTGTTTTTTGTAGTTTTTCCATATCATGAAACTAATTGTAGCATTTAAATGTTGACAAAATTCCTGAAGATGCATTTCGTATTCCACCACCACCAAATGGTCCAGCACCTGGTGAACCTTTACAAGGTGGTCATCATATGATGATGCAACATGAAGAACGACCACGCAAAAAACAATATCGTTATCGATCTATCAAGTAGAATGATATATATATATATATATATATATATCTATAAAAAATATTTTATTTTAAAAATTTAAAGATTCTTTTAGTTGACCTGAGACCTTTAATTTACACAAATAAAAAAAAGATTTTCGAGAAATATAAATAAATTAATAAACAATACCATAAGACTTATGTTTAATGTGATATTGAAATCGAAGCAAATCTTCGAATGAATTGAATTAAAATATATACTTTTTCAATTGATGTCTTCCGCATATATTCTAGAAAATAGAAAATAACAAAAACTATAAACATGAAATTCTTTCATTCACGTTAAAGAACTAAACTTTATTTCAATTAAAGATCAAATATATTTCTCATTTCTATGACCATTTATTTTTGAATTTTAAGAAACATTTTGTTTATCAGAATGTTTAAAAAGAATTTCTATTATTTTATTGATCATTTTTATCGATATGAACTTCATCATCATTCTTCATTCGTATTATTATAATTTTCTTATTGTTTATAAAAACAAAATATGTAATAGAAATTCAACTTCTCTTTAATCATCAGGCTGAATTTCTAAAAGACAATAGCCAATAAATAATGCAACTAAAGTCTCGATCACTTAACTAAATTCGTTCTTGTTGAATAATGAATTAAATTAACATTGAATTATATGACTTGTTTTCATTGTGAAAAGATCAATCTTCGACATCTGAACGAGCGTATTCATTAAAAATTTGACATATCTTTTGTTTTGTGTTCATTCATCGAAGAGGTACTTTCTCTCGCACTCAACCAACTCCGTTAGAATGTTACTTTCTTTGTCCCACCCTTAGCTAACATCAAGATCAATATGGATTACAACAGTTCTGCTTGCGTTCCAATGAATATTTTGTCAATAACTTGGTTTCTACGGCACCTTGACATTTATTTCATAAACATGAATGATGAGGGCTTGTTAACCTAATTTTAGCCTTGCTTCAATGTCATAAATATCATCTCAAACACAAAATCGGCATCTTTTCAAATGTTTCGACACTTACACACATTGAAGATATGCTGTTTACCTTGCCCGAACTGGTATTGATAGACGTAATTTCTTTATATCCACTAGCAAATTAGATAGTACTGTGTTGCATCAGCAAACCGAGTTGTCAACACGAGAATATTTCGGCCGAAGAAAAATTATGTTCAGTCGACTTTTCTGAGTGATATTTGAGCGATCGGAATCTGAAATTGAAACATTGCGTTTTGCAGCTCTTCAACACTTTATGATATGCAATATGACTATCATCGGCAAGGTCATTCAGAATAATGGTGCATTTACAAGAATATGATTGATAAAATCGCAAAACAGATTTTCGCGAAGGAACTATTTTTAACACGATAACGACAATTGATTGATGTCTAATGTTGTTCTCGAAACTCTTTCTCTGTAGTACACTCAAAATGAAACAGTTTCGAGAGATCTGACTGAATATAGTTGTCGGTTTTATCTTTCACGTTGACATTCAAAAGCTCAACTCTCCTTTGTATTGAATTCATTATCGAATAGGCATCTTTCTGTACCCTTGTTCATGGTCAACTGCATAAATTGTGGGAATACTATAACTGATCAGTATAAATATTGAATGCTCAGTACTAAAATGATCAGTTTATTATATATAATTGCCAGTAAAAAAAAGATAAATTTGATCCGTAAAAAATACAAGCTTGATCAGTAAAAAGTACAGATTTGATCAGTAGAAAAATAAGTTTTGCTCGTATAAATTATAATTTAGTATAAGAAAAATAAAGTTGAATAAATAAGAAAAACACAAAATAAATAAGAAGAAATCCAAAAGAACATTTCATAGAGTGGGTGTGGGTATGGGTGTAGATGTAAATCTTTTATTCATTTACACCCACACCCATACCCCAAACTAGTGCTCGGCGTGACCAATACTTTATGAACGTTCGTGACCGTGACCGTGACTGGAGCTTGGTCACGGTTAGTCACGGGAACTTTTTCGAAATTTTGGAAACNACGGGGAGACTCCCAATAGACTAACAAACGGACTATTCCTTGCAGACATCCCATCTATTTCTTTTTATAGAGAGTACTACACTCACAGCTATTTTTTGTAATCTATCATTGATAGCAAACAAATTCTCATTTGTTTGTGATGCTTACGGGGAAAGTCCCCTAACTAATTAATCGTTTTTAAGTTAAGATTATGCTCATCGTGAAGGTTCTAATGAACTATGAATATTCTGAAAAAAGTCGGAGCTCTTAGTTCACTAGTGCACAGATATTACATTTCAATGATGTTTTTTTTTCAAGTCAATGTCTTGGTCATTCTCATAAACATTGGGAAAACTAATTTTTACACTTTGCATTTAAACTTTCTACAGAGACAAGCATTAACAAGATTAGTTTATTGTGAAATTTTCAGATCTTTTGATTTACTTCTTTTCTAAAATTAGAACATTGAATCTATCAGTCTATATCAACAATGTAAAAGACAAGATTTTAACATAGCAATATTTCACAATAGGAAAATGAAAAGATGTAAAATTTTCACAATAAACTAGTCTAGCGAAGGCTTGTCTCTCTACAAAGTTTGAAGTCATAATTTGAAAATAGATTTTCCCGAGGGATTCAAAGTATTGACTTAAAAATATACTGTGAAAATGTTATATATCCGCTTCAAGTAGCTAAACGCCTCAACGTTTTCCAGGGTTTATATAACTCATTATTGTCTACATAATGCATATAGTTCCGGTTCAAAAGTAATTAATCAGCTGGAAGGACTTCCTTAGTTCTATAAGATAAGAAATGTTGTTATAAAACCGATTCTATCGAATTTTACGTATAGAATTTTGCTTGAAGTGTTTATGATTAGTGTTTTTTTTTCATTAGATTCTGGAAAATATATACAACATATTTCACGTCGTGTACTATGTAAAATTCAAAAATTGCAACGTTCTGCACTTTGTTCAAGTGATGAAGCATTTCGTGAAAATACAGATACTAAATTAACAAAACAATGGAATCAAATCTTATCAACAATTCCAATTTTAACTGAAAATGAAAGAAATTCTATGCGTTCAAAAGTATCTAGAGAAGGTATTCATGAAATTTATCGTCAAACATCAAAATATTATAATGATTATATTCAAGTTCGTGATTTTCGAAATGCATTAGAAAATAAATATGGTCATGATACGCGATCACGAAAAGGAAATGAAATTATTTTTACAACTGAACAATTACTTGATAGTAGAATATCCTGTGAACCAATCACGTTGTCAAGCAATTTAAATCATCATGTACAATGTCCCATGCAAAATAAGAGCACGATAAATAGCGTGTTCAATTAATCACTAACTTGAAATCAACACACATGATTTCTTCGTTTTCTTTTTGTTTTTGTTTTTCGGTTTGATTATTATACCTTTCTTATTTTATCATAGAGGCAAACAAATAATAAATTCAAATAAAAGTAGATATTTAGATGATTAGATTAGTTTTTTTTATAATAATTATAAGTTGAATAAATCGATTGATGTATCAATGTGTTTATTTAATATTCTATTCATAATGCATTCTATTGCTTTTCTTTAGAATATATTATTTTAAAAGCTTGAATTATGTAGACGTTATTTGCTTTTTTTCCTATAAGAAAGAAAGATTTTCTTTCATTATGTTCAGAAAAGCACGTCGTTCTCTCTGTTTCTAATAGATATTCTTTTTTTCTCGTTTTCTTTCTTTTTAACAAAGAAATGCTTTTTGAAAGGAACTCAATGATTAGTCTGTTCCGGCCGAAAACATTGTCTATTCAAAACCTGTCATCATTCAAAATCTTTGTGTCATAAAGCGACAGAGATACGAGCGGTAAAGATAATTTTTCTTTGTTTTTTTTCTTGTAGTGTCCAATTAACAAGTACTCGAACATTCATTTAAAGAAAATGTCATGTTCGAAGAGAGATTATTCAATTTTTTCTATGTTTTCACAATGTCGTTCATCATTGTATTGGACGCAGAAACAAACTATGTTGAACTACAGCACGTTTTCTAATAATCATCATTTTACTGTGCGCAACAAAAAAATACGCATATATATATATCTATATATCTATATATATATCTATTTCGAGACAAATCTATTCCCAATTTGTTATCTTTAGCGATAACAAGAGCGGAAATTCTTTTATTTTCTCTTTTTTTTTCTGCTTTTTCTCGTTGGTCGCTGTCTTTGTGTTATTTTTTCAAGACAAGAACGACAAAATCATACCGCTCATAAAAGATAAAGATCTTAACATGAGAGCAAGCGCAAGAGAAAACGTGTGATGCTAGAGAAAAAAACTAGAGAAGAAAAAGCACAATGTATTTAAATTACAAACAAGAACAAGTTAGAACAAACAACAATCATATAAATTAAACCAATATCTTGTTATCTATTTTAAAATTTCTCAAGATGGCCAGAATTAATCTGCGAGGTCGAAGATGGTCTGATGCAGTTGTTTTCAAGTAAGTTGATGACATAGAAAAACAAGTATGTAAACATTGAGAATCTTGATTATTATTCATTGACAAAATATTTTTTTTTTCTTACCTCGGAAAATTCTTTTTTTGTAATAAAAATAGGAAAATTAGTTGACGAAATCTAATTTCATTAAAGTATGGATATTTGATTTTTATTCAAAATTCATAATTGAATGTTTATTTTCTGTCATCTAAAGAAAAATGTTTTTTGAGAGAAACATTTTTGATTAAACTAATTATTTTTTTTTTTCTTGTTCATGGAAGCAGTTTGTGAGGAAGAGTGTTTGTGAAAAATCTAAGAAGTCAATTCCTGTATCTTGATAGTTGATGACAATAAGAAATAAATAGCATTTTCCTAGAGGCTAAAAGACAGCAGAGAATTAGCCGTTCTTTTTCGTATAACGTTATATTTTTTCCGAGAATCTTAAATATATTTCCTTTCTCTAATCTTTTAACTAAAGTTATATCCAAGACATTGACATATGGATGTCTTTAGTCGATATAGCTCCAGAAATTATGGGATCACGGAAGCAGAAGAACTATGTTAGAATACGACGGTTATTTTTTTAATCTTCTATCCCAAAGATGCAACCTGTTTCAAAATATTTTAGCCAAATTATTGTCCCAAATGAAAAAAAAAATCTATATCTTTTACAATCCACATCGCTCATCTTTATTGTTCATTAAAAAAAGATTCAACGATAGTCATGAACTGAGTGCTCTCTCTTGAAAGATGACTTCATATGTGAGCTATTCTCTATAGCTAAATCATCCACTCTGTTCGATGCTTGAACAGATAATGACGTTTTGGAATATAAATGATGCGGAAAGATTCATGCCGGGGCGTGAATTGAAAACATCTATTCACATATGAATGGCCATTTGCATTGTGTATATATGAATCATGTCAGGAAATAGTTTATGACTAAAAAGAAGGAAATGAAGAGTACACTAATTTTCAATACAAGATATTATGAGTAATACAAAAGTTTTATATCATTATTTATCTTCGTAAAAAAAAACATAATTGAAGATCAATATTTTTTTTGGGTTTTTGAACGATAAGTTATGATGTCTTCAAGAAATTTTCTTTTCGAAGTGTATCGATGGTGCATAGTAATAGAGTAATTTAACGGTTCAAACAATTCTAATGAATAAAAAAAAAATCGCTGTTGCAACATATGAAGAAAATCCATTTCATTATTGCTTTCTTTTTCAAAGAAGAAATAATTGTAAATTTAATTATATGTGTCAATGGTATATTAAAAACTCTGTCGATTGTAACTATTTTAAAAGAAACTTAATTTTATTTGTTCAAGAATAAAAGAATATTCTCACACATTGAAATTCATCAAAAAAAATATCCATTTTAACATCTCGAAAAATGATTACGATTGAAGCGGCATATGTTTGAAGAGAAAACGTTTTAACACAAATTATAGAGAGAATTATTGAAGCTGTTTAATGCATATTATTATAAATGAGATTTATTTTTAATTTATTAAGGTATTTAAAAATTCTCTATCATTTCCGCAGCTGTTAGTCAGGATAGGTCTAAATGACTTGTTTCTCAAAGACGAAAAAAAATATTGAATAAACTAAAACTAAAAAAAATTGTTTTATAGTACATCTAAAGAACAATCATTTTATATAAATAAACTTCTTGTTGTGACCTTTAACTTTTTTTAATGATCACTTAAAAGTTCATAACCGTTTTTCTGTTGAATACGTGCTTTTTTTTTTAAAGAATTTAAAATAATTAATATGTAAGAGCAAATTAGCATGTTTAATTGGAATACCTCGATGGCCAACTTTCTAGATGAAATTATCGAGTTCCTTGAAAAAAAGAAAAACAGAATTTTTCCTTTTAAAATGCTTTTAATTTTGAAATATCGAAAAAACAAAACTGATACAGAATGTTTTTATGATCAGTATTTAATTGTATAATGATTGTTTTAATTGATTGATACTTTAATAAAATCAACAGCTAGTGGGACTTTTCTTGGGATCTTTCAATAAGTAGCTAAACATTTTGAGATAAATCTCAGACTATTTCTCAATATATTCATGCACATCTGCACTGTCAGTGCACTGATATATTGACTTAGCTTAGTGTATAGATGCGTGCTTATAATATATGTCGCTGAAATATTAACACATTTAATGAATTCTAATAAATCGTCAATAAATAATTCCGTAGAAAGAAAGTCTAAAAGAAAAAGTGTAGGTAGTCTCTCAATAAGTTTTAATTAGATTGTGTTTTGTTTTCAGCTGTAGACCGAAGCGAAATAATCTGGATTAATATTGATCTTTCTTTAGAACAGATTATAGATCTATTTCAATAATCTCATCACCTTTTCTAAATAAGCATGATTGCCAAAAAAAAAAAATGCTCTATTTTATATAAGACGAATTTACTTCAATGGTGTTAGTTAAATCAAATTAATAGTTCAATTATTCTCTACCATATACGTATATTCGTCATCAAGATTAAAGTTTGTAATTTTGTCTATACGACATTATTGTGATCCTTAATCGACTAGAAAAAGTTTTACCTCTACTTAAATCTCAACAAAGTTACTCTTCAATATTAAGCCATTGGTTGAATGAGCCGTATTTTATTAATATTTGCATTAAGATTGATTAGTACTATTGATTATGTTAAAGCATTATTATTAAAATTATGTTTAATACTTCTGTATTACTTTATCCTGGAGTCAATTCAGGCTAAAATCCTACTAATAAATTAGACATATTTTAAACTCTAATACTATTATTACACGTTCTTAGATCGCGCAGGTATTTCAAGCTTAAAAGATAACAAAAAAAAATGTATGAATTAATTCTAGTACCAAATAATAGAAAAGCATTTGACTTAGATCTATTGTTGATGTTATGATTTTAACATTGAATTATTAAGGCATCACCAATTCAAAATTTTCACAAAAAAATTCCAATTATTTTCAATAGTTAGACAGAGCACGTCTTGTTGTTTAAGAATAATTGGTTTATAATTTTTTAAAAGCAAGGTTTTCTTGACAATTTTGAAAAGTCTTAATTTTATTGAAAGAGTGTCTCAGTCTTACGCTCAAGTCAATGCATGAAGTTATTTTTGTTTTTCGCTTTGCAGTGTCTCATAAACATTTTTTAGTATTTGTTCTGCTGAATTAACTAGGAAAAAAACATTTCAAAGTATTTCTCCTTAGTTAACTTAGTAGAACAAATACAGAGAAAATGTTTATGAGACACGCAAAGCGAGAAAACAATAATAACTTGAAACATTCACAAAACCATTAGAATAAGACTTATTAAAATTGTCAAGAAAGCCTTGCTTTTGAAGATATATATGAACCAAATTGTTCCTAGAAAACTTGACATGCTCTTGAACCATTGAAAAAAAAAAGGTGGAATTTTGTTTTATAGAAATTTCAAATTTCCGGCGTCTGACTGGTAATAAAAAGACATTTCTAGTTGCAATAAATCTATTCACACAAGGGAAATGATGTTTCCAAAAACAAAAAGAAAGAAAACAAAAGAAATACGATCCCATAAATGGGTGAAATTTATAAACAATAACGCCAGATAGTAAATGATAACAATGAGATTTTCTTCTAGGAGTAATATACTTTATTACAGACGAATTATTTTCATATGCAATTTCAAAAAGTATATACGCAATATTGAGAAAAGGAAAAATGTAGTGAAAGATAAACTCTCTAATAAAACTTCATGGATTATTTGATATAGATACAAAAGAAAAAGCATATTGATTAATAAATAAAACTAAAAATTATCAAATGTTTTCTTTTAAAAAAAATCCACAATTTTATTTCTGTGCTTGTCGTACAAAACGAATTATATTTTTTGTTTTATCATGAAATATAGAAGATTCATCGAATTGATTAATAATTAATCGTTCTTTTATATTCATGTCTATAGAAAAAAAAAAATGTTCATATATATAATAAGAAAAGAAATATTTCATAGTTGACTATGATGTTTCTTTCTTTCTTTCTTTCTTTTGTCTATAAATATGTGAGAAAATAACCTTCTGTTATTATTTTTTTTTTTCATGGCTAAATCCTTTCAGCAGACTGTGTGATTTGATTTGTGTTCTATAGAGAAAATTTTCATTAGTAAGATCAGGCAAAAAAAGAGCGACCATTGAGAAGTATACACGTAAAAGAAGGAAGAATATGTTATATTTTTTTTTTTTATAAACTATTCCAATGAGAAATAAGAGAAGAAAACTAGTTCCGATGGAAATTAATTTTGCCATTCTTTTTTTTTTTTTGCTCTTTCTCTTCGTACTTATATGATGGTATTCGTACTAGGCAGCATACATTTAGAAATGATGGATAGTGTCAGTGTTAGCTGAAGAATACGCAATGAGCAATATTAGTCAAAATAGAACTACGCGACCAAAGACAACTTCGATTTTTGATGTTGTCAGACAAACTCAACAGCAACAACATGTGTCACCAATGAAGTCTAGTTATTTAAATAGGTTTGATTAGTGTTTTTTTTTTGTTGTTGTTTTTTTTATGATGCTGAAATGTTTATTTAACTTATAACATTAAGAATAACTTGTTTCTTTTTTGTTGATTTTCAAGTATGAAAACATGGTAGTAAAATTACAATAGTTTTGCCAATATGATTATTTTAAAAGAAAGATATTTTCTATATTGTCTTTGAACAGATAAAATAGATATTTTATTTGAATTCAGAATCCACAAGAAATAGAATATTTGCAATATAATGTAAAAATTTGTATCAAGAGAATTTTCAAATGCATAGATAATAACAATACGCTATCATAATAGATACGGCTCTTCAAAGCTTTATTATGTAGGTGTAATGATGCGATTTATCAAGTAAAAATAAATAATTATGAAAGTTTTATGTTTATTGCCATTGTATTGATTACAATACACGTATACATCGTCTTAGTTTTTATGACTAGTTTCGATTAAAACCCATTAGCTCTGACAAGTTTTTTTTTCTAGATTGACAGTGCCTTAGCCCCATCATATTTATTTATTTATTTATTGTTCTTTTATTCATGAAATAGGAGAAAAAAAAACTTGTGCTCTCACGGATTCTCTCTCGATCCTTTTTTTTTCTTATAGAATGCGATAATAACAGATTGGAACGAAAGAAAATGATGGAAAATGAGATGCGAGAAAAAAAAAAGGAATATTTTTTTTTCTTTTTATATCATTCGTTAACATGTCATAGTAGATAATCTTCAGAAAGGTTATTTTGATTAATGTGTGAACAATGACTCTCGCATCTTTACAAGAATCAAAATTTTCAGCTGCATTGACTAAACGGTAGATGAAAAATGAGATTTTAATTGATTTTTTTCTTTAGTTTAATTTTAAATTAAATTTCGTTTATATATTTTTATTTAATTAGGTATGAAAATGACAATGAAGGTTCGTTTCTTGAAAATTTTGAAGCCGTTGCACAAAAACATGAACAACGTCGACAAAAAATAAAAAAAGATGTAAAAAGCAATAAGTTTTTTTTTTTTTAAATTATTTATTTATTCTTTATCTTTTCTTTTAAAGGAAGAAATTGAAAATGAAAAAATACCTCCTGAATATCGAATAACATTTGGTGAAAAACCGCAAGGTATAACATCAAAAGAATACGAATTACTTTATATTGAAACATTATATACGATAAAACATAAAATTGGTACAACAATATCAAAGCATAGTGAAGGAGAAAATGATCTTTATTCTTATGCCCAAGAGGCATTTGGACTATCAAGTGAAGATCATCAACGTTTATTAGCTAAAGCGAGCGAAGAAAAGGTTAGTGTAAAGGTTAAACTAATTATTGAAATGATGATTTCATTTAGCCCCCAATTTTAATTTTAAATATTGAAATTGTTGAAGCTAAAGATCTCGAAGCAAAAGATGCAAACGGTAAAACGAGTTTCTTAAGGAAAAAAAAAAGCCAATAAAAATTTTTAATTAAAAAAAAAAAAACAAATAGGGTTTTCTGATCCTTATTGTATGTTGGGTATTGTACCAGAAGTTAAAAAATTTGTTCTTCCTCAACAATCAAGTGCTGTTGGTGCATCATCTGATGAAGAAGGATCAACTGATAGTAAACTTGGTTTTATGAAACGTTTAAAAAGTTTTCGTAAATCAACAATTCGTCGATCTCAAGGACGAGAAAAAAGTACAACATCAACGGGTTCAAGTCCACAAAATAATTGCAGCTTAAGGGATAAATTGCCGGCAAAATATATTCAAACAACTGATGTTAAAAAAACTACATTAAATCCGATTTGGATGGAAAAATTTCGTTTGTAAGTTTTTGAGAAAATTTATCTATTTTGAAAAAAGAAAATTATCTTTTTGTTTTTGTTTTATATTCTTATTAAAGTAATATTGAAAGTAGTAAAACGGAAACATTTCATTTGGATATATGGGATCATGATGATGAATTTTCTGTATTTGAAGCAGCAAGAAAACTCAATCAAGTTCAAGGTTTTAAAGGATTAAATAGATATTTTAAACAAATTGCTCAATCAGCAAGAACAAATTCTAATGAAAGTTCCAATGTTGATGATTTTTTAGGTTCAGTTAATTTAAAAATTAGTGTATGTTTGAAAAATTGATTTATTTTTGTTTATTGATTGAATATGTTTAATAGGAAATTCCATCAACAGGAATCGATAAATGGTTTTCACTTGAAGGTCGAAGTGAAAATTCAAAAGTTCATGGTCAAATTCATATTCGTGCTAGTTTAGCAACACGTGAAGATCGTGGAATATCTGAAGAAGATAATTGGACCGATATTAAACAACATGTTGAACTTTTACAAATTTTTATTGATCATGAATTAAACAAATTTAAGGTTCTATTTTCTTGACATTTAATATCATAGTATAGGATAGAACATGTCAGAATTTAAAACTAACTTTGACATATGCGTAATGTCGAGATTATATTAACTTCCTTTTCATAAGATTAGCTTACTTCCCTTAACCGATGTCATAGAAAGATTAGAAAAAATCAACTTACAACACGCGGAAATATGTTTTTATGCTGACAGATGAATCTTTCATATCGGCGAATTGCTTTCAAAATGAGATTTTTCTTTTTTTTATTCCTTCGGATGTCTCGATTTCCCTCAAGCAAAAATAAGCAGAGATCTACATCTATTAATTTAACTAATTTCTTTGTTGAAAATACTCAATTAAAATAAGATATTTGTTCGAACTTAATATTTTTACTTTTATTGAGCTATTTATTACTTAAAAATTTTCTTTTAACGACATATGAAAACTTCTGACGTGTCTTCATTTATCCGACACAGCTTTGGTAGCATGAAATCATATGTTAATTCTTTGTTGACTAACTTTCAGTTTCATTGAATATGAGAAATTAATTCTATTTCTAACATAATATTAAAGACAAAAATAAGTTACTTTTCCAATTGTTTCTTTTTACTTTTCTCTTATATTATATATATATATTTATATGCACATACTATATTTTAATTATTTACATATTATTCTATATTCATTTTATAATGATTCATTTTGATGATATTGAAAGAACACGAACAATAATAGAAAGAAGAAATATCATATTTAATCATTTTCAGTTTTAGAATGAGAGCATATCTACAGATGACTTTTTTCTTTTGAAAATCGATTGTTTTTTGTAGCTGATAAGTTTCAAAAATAGTCACCTATTCTGTCATTAATAATCAATGAAGATGAAGCTCTGAACTCCAGTGGCAATCTCAATCAAAGTTGTTCTCGTCCAATTATTCGAACTCTGCATGTGCACAGTACCAACTCTTTTATTATGATATATAATAATGACATGTGTGATCAATATGTGTTCGATATTATGTGTTTCAATACGAGAACTTTGAGTGAAGTTGTCACTCCAATTTAGAAGTGTCTCATTATCGATTATTGATAACACAGTGGGTAACCATTGATAAAGTTTTTCCGCTACAGAAAACAATCGGCTTTCAAAAAAAGACATGCTTAGGTATAACTTCACTGTAAAACTGAAAACCGTTAAATAGAGTATTTTTCTTCTTTGCTCTTGCTGTGCGTCTTCTTTCAATATCATCAAAATGGAATACTTTGAAATAAATAGAAAATAATATGTAAATCAAATAGAATATTTACATACAAATGTATTCATAATAATACAAGAAGAACGAAAAAACATGAACTTATTTTTGTTTGTGAGAGAGTGCAAAACATATTCTAGTTATTTATCAATGAATCATCGTTCAGTTGTATCATACATTCAGGACATCTAAAATATTAAAGTTGACAGTAATAACTTTTCTATAAAGAAGTATTTAGAGAAATGTTATACCTCCATTACATGTTATATCTTCTTGAATAATTCAATGCTTACAAAAACAAAAAAACATATTTATGTTTTAGCTTGAAGTTAGTCAGAAAGATAATACAATGTTTCCAGCATAAGACAATAACATTCATTGAAAATGATAAAATCTTGATATTCGCTTCTTTATATTTCAAGACAAATTTTTCATTAATTTTAGGGTGAAACAACAAAATGGGGAGGTGAATTATCACGCGAAGCTGAAACAATTTTACATCAACATGCCATTCAAGGTGATATAACTGATATTCAACGAAAAATGTGTCGTTGGATAGCATATTCAAAAAAACATCTTGAACGTACATTAACACATAAATTATTATTATTAATAACAGAACAATTAGAACAAACATGGCAACCAACTTCATTAAGTCGAGATGAAAGTGATATGTTACGAGAAGCTTTTACATTATTTATAAATCATTGTTTTAAACAATTAGCAAAACTTCGAGATATTTTTCCAGCTGCTAATCGAATTGCAATCGAACGACTTGAACAACTTTTAACGTAAAATAAAAAATTATCTTAAAGTTTATTTATTTATAGGATGTTTCGATGATTTTAGAATTGTTGCTAAATTACATAGTATGGAAGTATTTCGTTATTGTTGTCCATTTCAAAATAGTCTTCAACATGAATTATCATTGATTATATCAGTAAGAAATACAAAAAAAAAAATGTTGATTTTTAGTATTTTTGTCTTTTTTTAAGGCTGGAACTATGGAATGGTTTGATCGTATGGTTGCACATGTAACAAAACCAAGATTAAGAGTAAGACTTTATTGAAATTTTTTCAAAAAAAAAATTATCATTTTTATTTAGTCCGATGAAGATATATTACGTAGTACAAGTGAATTAATTTATGTTTTGATTGCAGATGGTAAGAAATCGCGTTTGTTTTAAAAGATAGAAACGTTGGAAAATTTATTTACAAAAAAGTAATATTTACTTGAATAATAAATAAAGAGAATAATAGTGAAATGAAGATAAATTCTAAAATTTCCTTTATGAATTTGAGTGTAGATTACCGTCAATTAAATAATGCTTGACTAAGAAAATATGTGCTTCGAACTCATTTTATGAATTTATTTGAAGAAATCTTAAAAGAAATGTTCTTTTCTTATTCTCAATTGAGAAAAGTAGTCAAACTAATTCTGAACGTTCGACTTCATCTTTCGGCTATTAATCAGTCTCAATAATAATACTAATAAAATTCTAATAGAGTTGTTCGTGCTTATGAGTCTACATTTCAGAAATATAGTTAATATCATGACGATATAAATGACATTTCTTAGTGTTATAACTGGTAGCGTCGGTCCGGTCCGATATGGATTTTTCGAGATTTTGTATGAACCAGTATGGATTAAAATATTCCTATGAAAACAAATTAAACGCTCAGTAAAATTGTTTCTTCAATATTATATACAAGTTATCAGTTTAAAAGATGTTGTTGTTGGATGTGGATGCTACTGTTAGAGAGATCAATACTCATAGTCTTAAATAATGAGTCTTCTTAAATTAATTACTGAGCTTTTTAAACTAATTATTTATTGTGCTAAAACTACAATTTTTCTCAGCAATTAAATACATACTTATTTCGATTAAATGAATATTCATTAAAACGCGCTCAATTTATTTTATCAAATTATTTTTATATGAGATTACATTATCGAAGCACAATGGAATCATTGTTCGTCATTGCAATATTTATTGAAATAGATAGTGAAGAAAAGCTTTCAGCGATGTCCCAACAGGATTAATATATTAAACACAATGGGGCTACTTTAACCATTGTGATAAATTTCATTATCTATATGAGAGACCATAGCAGGACTAAAAGAGCAACGTGTCGGAAAGCCCATTAGGGCGTTACAAACTATGATAGGCCTATAGGAATCTCTGTTGCAGTGTGTCAGTAGGTAAAAAATTCATTAAGAATTATATTTCACAAAAGTACTACAATAATGAAACAGAAGTCTTATATAGTTTCTGTAGTGATTTGAAGGTAGAGATGACCAATCGTGAGACTGATTTGACTTTTATAAGGTAAGAAAAGTGAAAAATGATTCATGTCAATCCGGCTCGGTCTGAGCTGTAAGGAAAAAGTCTTACCGGTTGTATCTCTAATGTTTTGGCTTGCATTTTAAAAAAACTGATCACAAATATTTTATCCTTATTTATTTAATTAGTATCAATCATTAATTTTTATCTAAATAACTACACTTATCTTTTGTAAATTCACTCAATACCGATGACAGACTAATGAAAACCTAGAGATTCATCCTAAAAATTTTCATTGTTGTCAAAACTTGCTTCTCTTTCGACTCATTTCTATACAATATAAAAAGTTGTTAAATTGCTCGTTTGATTCTCCTGTTCTTGATGCTGAAAAGTGCTACATTTTTGTCAATTCTACATAATCTATTCATACCATCAATATGCTTTTTCTTCATATCTGGTTTAAGTATTGTAGTATAATTCGAATAAAATTATTTGCTTGACATAGTTCTAATACCAAGTTATTCAAATAATGCAATATAACCTCTTTATAGTAGACACTTCGGACTTTCCAAAAATTTCTATTATAATAGAAAGGTGTCCACTATACAGAGGTTCTACTGTATATAATTGAAAGGTTGAAATCAATTGGAATTCTTTCGTTGTAAATCAATAGTACTGTAAGCAAGTAAAAGTGTTTATCAAGAACTCTTTTTATTCATGACGATACTAGTGAAACTGTATGAAACAACATATCGTTTATTTTAGCTCATTCGGCTGTTAAATATTACAATCCAATATTTGAATCGTATGTTAATTTATAAATTTAGATAATTTATTATTTCGTATGAATTTCAGTAGTGCTAAATTGGCTTTTTACCATATATCATTTAAAAAAATCGATGGCAAAGTATTTTTGTTTTTTTTTCTCGTTCTATTTATATTCAAAATCTGTTTTTTTTTCTTCATTTTAATTTCAGCTAATGGATATAGTTATAAAAGCACTTGAAGAAGAAGTAAGTATATTTATATTCAACAATTAAAATATAAACTTATATGTATTATCATTAGCTTGGTGAACAAATATATCAATCTCCTTTAAAATTATTTGAAAGTGCTGAACCAGATTCAGCTGATATAGCTGCTTTTGCTTTTTCAGCTGAACAAACAAGTTTATCCTTATTTGAACTTTATTTAACTCTTAATGAACTTGCAAAATATAAAATATATGTTAATGAAACGTATGTTTAAGCTTTTAACTTCTTCTTTACAATAAAGAAAAAAAATCATATTTAGTCACCGATCAAATTTAAAAATCAATCAATATTATTTATATTTTGGTGTAGCTTTAAAAAAATGGTTATCAATAGCTCGAAATAAACTTCTTCATCGTATTGAATATTTTCTTGATAAAGATAAAATTGAAACATCATCAACAACAACAACAACAAATAATAAATTTACCTCATCATCATTAGATATTTCAAATTGTTTTACACAAATGACACAATTTTGGAGACGATTAGGTTAAATAAAAAAAATTAAAATATTTTCAAATTTATAAATAATATTTTTCTTTTTGCTTTCACCATTAATTTAGCTTGGCCTGATGTTCTTGGTTCAATCGTATATTTAATTAAAATAACTGAAGATACAGCTAATGCAACACGTCTTTATGCAACATTAATGGAAGAAAAATTGAATGCAAAAAAATTTTATGATACTAATGATTTAACTATTTATACACAAGAAGTAAATTAAATATATAAAATATTTTATTCATTTTCGTTTTTTTTTTTTTTTATATTTTTTATTTTAGCTTTCATTAACTGTAAATAATATTGAACGTATACGAGAATCATTTAAAGCCTTACCAATTGAATTATCTTATGATAAATTATTAGTAGCAGCAGAAAAATTTCATCCAATTGCTGTTGTTGATGAATATAGAAAAAAAATTGAAACAACTGTTGCAATTTGCAGTCAAGATATAACTGATAGAATTTATCGAATTTTAAGTAAAGTTATTACAAATATGGAAATGGAATTAAAACAATATTTATTTCATATCATCGAAGCACCTGAAGCTAGTGCTGCTCAAGATACTATTCAACCATTATTTACTTTTCTTGACAATCAATTATTACCTTATACAGAATATTTAATTAGACTAAACTTAACTAGGTATTGTATCATATATTTTTTGATAAATAGTTCATGGTCAGATAAACTTATGCGAATTAGTGATTCTTATCGCCAAAAAAATTTATAAAAGAATATGAAGTTTTACCTGAATAAGACAATTAGTTATTAAGAAAAATATATGAACACGAAAATTTTCCTAAATAATATAGAGTAATTGACAAATTGTCGATAATTTTCAGAAGCAAATGTCTTATTACTTGAGTATAGGATATTGTCGATTATTTAATTAGTAAATATGTTAAAACATTCTTAGTGGAACTATCCAAGCAACCGTCAAGACTAAAAAGCAGTATTTTAGTATCTTAGAGTCCTTAGAGAATTTTAATTGAACAAATCTTGCAAGTACTAAATATGTTTGATGTAAGATAATTTGATTACGCTGTTGAAAATCATCTTAATACTTAAGAATAGCCTTCATTCGTTAAATTCTATATCTTAGCTACAAGTAGATGTTTATATAATTGAAATATTCAAAAATGAGTCATTTTCATGTTTTCTAGGATTAGATGTATGAGAGAACCCTTTGAAGTGAAAGTCTCTATTCGAGTTCATATTTTGCTGATCAAACTTCAAATATTTGAAAGGTAGTGCAAGAAAACTGAATCAAAGAACTTTAATCTGAAATTATACTGAGAAATAGATCTCATGGGGCTCATAATTCTGAAAGTTATACCCAAAAACGAATGCTTCTGTCTCGAGAAGATCGAGTTGAAAAAATGGCTCTTGTGCACAAAAAAGAAAATTTCTAAAAGGTTCCCTCGTTTTAGTATTTAATATCTTGAGAAGAAGTAATTCTTTTCTGCTGAAACTTTTAGGTTATTATAAAGACCATGACATCTATTTCTTAGCAAAATTTAGCACTAAAATTCCTTAATTCAGTTGTTCTCGTAATATCCAACACATAGTGGACTGTAAAATCAGTAAAGTGACCGTAACTTATTGGGAAAACATTAATGGCACAACCATCCTCTGAGGAATTTTATCTATAAAATGAACATATCAATAGTAAAGTATGAACTCGAACAGGAGGTATCAGTTGAAAAGTCCCATTATACAACGATTTTTCTCAACTTTTCTTTTCATCATATGTTTAATTGAAATAAGTAGATCTATATATGCATCCTATTCATGAACACAATATTCGCATATCATGTCTTGAAAGCTTGTCATTGATTAACATTCGAGATCAATTACTTCGACGTCTGATTCTATTGATTTCCGACCGGAATCACAGGAAATACTGTGTAGCCGATCGGAAAACTCTACAAAATAGTAGGAACTTGAAAGTAGGAATTGTATGATCGTATCCGATGACTAGCTTCTCTCGATTATGTTTGTTTTCAACCAGAGTCAAACATATCCAATCACCGATTCCGAACATCGAATTTCTGTTTTCAAGTTTCAACTCTTTTCTGAAGTTTTCTAGCCGGAATCGATCATTCGGACAGGATTAAGAGTTTATAAGAACAATTTCAAGATTCTAGATCTAGACGATCTTGTCTCATGTAACAAATATCTAAACACGAAGGAAAATTCTTGTAGAGCTCTTTTGCATTAAACTACCGATCTTTTTTAACACTTCCAAATGTAAATATGTTTCACTAAATTGAAATTCTGTTTAAAAATACGTCAACAAATTTTCATTTATTTAGATTGTTAGAACTTATATGGGCTGTATTAATCGATCAAATTCTATGTGAAGTTGAAGATATAACATCACCAGTAACTAAATCTTAATTTTATATATCTAATTAAAAAACAAAATTTAGAAATCAATTTCATCTTATACACGATTATTAAAAGCTCTTGATGGTCTTGTCGAATATTTTAATAATGAAGAACATTATTTACCAAAAGATATCCTCAAAACTGATAAATACAGAGTATAAACAAATATTAATCTGGTTTTTCTAATGAATTTGTTCTTCTTTTTTTTTTTTTTTACATTTTAGTTGGTAAAGAAATTATTAAAATATCAATCTACCGATACACAATCGTTAATCAAAATGTATTATCAAGTAAATTAATGAATAAATATTTAAATAAAATATTAAATTTATCTATTTCCAGGAAAAAGTTCAAGAACAAGATCGTGCTAATAGTTCAAATCAATGTGATTTAGGAAAACTTTATTGTCGAGCTTATTATCATTTAAAAGAAGAGACATTATATATTGAAAGTATGTCTTGGCTTTTTTTCTGGAGCCCAATCTATAAATAATACTGAAGTATAGAAGTAAAAATTTGGACTCCTTACAGTTGTGACACACGTTGATATATGATTACAGACCGTTTATCAATTAGGGAACTGCGGATATTTCTCGATCCGAGTTCAAGTCGAGCTCGGATCTGAAGTTCAGTTTATTGTCAAGTCCGAGTTCACCAAAATATAGATTCACATCAGCTTCCTAGTACCGATAACGTCTCTTTATGACATATGAAGCATTTTCTTATCGCTTTTCTGGAAGTTTAAATCAAAGAGTGATGAAAAAATGTGTCCGAAAATATGTAGAATAAACCTACCTGTCTGTGATTAGCAAGTACAGCTACATCAACTTTTACATTTTAATCCTAAAGAAATTGCACTAACAGTTTTGTGTTTAATATAATTTGAATATTTCCTATTTATTTTGTTTAAGTTATATCATGTAAAAATCTAAGACCATGTGATTCAAATGGCTTGAGGTAAATAAAATTTTTAAAAAATTGACAGAAAAAAAACAGTTTCTATTTTAGTGATCCATATGTTGAAGTACAATTATGTCCAAAATTTTTATATCCTTATATTGAAAAACAACAAACATCAGTTATAAAAAAAACTCTCAATCCACAATTTAATGAAAAATTTGAATTGTTAGTTAGAAAAATAAAATTTTTATATTAATTTTTCGTTTTGTTTATTTTTTCTTAATTTTTTGTAGTCGATTAACAGAAAAAGAATGCAATTTATCCGGTGGAATCATACATTTTATAGTAATGGATCATGATTTAATGTGGTCAAATGATTTTGAAGGTGAAGCATTTCTTGAAATATGGAAAATAACTGGAGTTAATAATGACAATCGAGCTGTTGATGAATTAAAACAAATTGAATTAGCATTAACACATCCGAAAGGTTAGACAAATGAAAAATTGTTTTGATTTGTAAAATTAAAAAGAAAGAATTATTTTAGTTATTCGAAGTCGTATTATTGAAATATTGGAACAACGAATAGCTGATAAAACGGCGGTAGACTTTGTTCGAAGACGACGTGAGAAAGAAAACCAATAAATATTTTATTCCTTCACAGATTATGTTTTAATTTTGTTTTTCTTTTTTTTTTTGTTTTTTTTTCTTCTATGTATTCTCGTTTATTCTATTTGTAAGCTTGAGGAACATTGAAAAATTATTCATATTTAATCACAAATGATTAAAAAAATATTCATTATTTTCTTATACAATTTAGTCATGAACATGATTTACGTCAATAATTATACAAATAAGAATATTCATTAATTAACAAAAAAAAAAAAGAAAATTTAATAACATTTATATGTTTGTTTCTTTGTTGAAATATTAAATTATCAATTAAATCATTGTGTGTTACAGTTAATAATGTATTTTAATTCAAATATCAGGATGATTAAACGTTGATTCTTCTTATTTTTTGTTTATTTATTATTTTTCGAAAATTAGCAACTCGCTAAATACATAAAACGTCAGTTAAATAACAAATACACGATTATAATTTCTTTTTTCTCATGTTCTTTCATTATTTTGTGGCTTACGTCATTTTTGGTAATCGTTCTTTATAGAAATATGTTATTCAATTTATCATCATATTATTATGTCTATGTATAAAATAATGTAATTATTCTTGTATTATTTATCTTTGAATTTTATTAGAATTTGACTATCACATTACAGAGATAACTTGTGTCTTTTCATTGATGAATTGAATTATTACCATAAATGTTGAATTATTCTTTTTGAAATAAATATCACAATACTGTAACATTAGTGAATGTAATACGTTCAAGGTTGCTACCAGTTTGTTACAGGAACGTTTTGGATACTGAAGTACTTTATGTTAGTTTGGAAACTTTTGAGCACTTAATTTCAGAATGCTTCTAAGTATTCGATTGACTAAGTTAGTGAAGAATTTTTCATACAATGTTATAGAAATTGTACAAGTCTCGTAGACGATAGATCAAAATTTGATTCTCGAGCTGATCAAATATGTCACATTAGAGTTGATACTCGTATGAATTAAAGCTAATTATTACACGGATAAATTAAAATTAAACTTTTTAATATTAATAAATAAGTATCAAAAATTTTTTCAGGACTATTATTAATTTCACACATCTATTAAAGTAGAGAAAAATGGTGAAATTTCAGAGATAAAAGAACTATGCCACTTTGAAATGATACATCGTCATTAACACAATTAGTGTAACTCTTATGAAGTGGAAAAAGACTGTATTACGCGAAGATTAAATTAAGCATGTAAAACAAGCAATAAAAGCTTCTTTTTTATCTTTTCTAACGGCATGACATTTTTCTTCTAAATTGATGATAGCTCAATTGGTCGTTTTTCATTTAAGGCTTGACTGCATTCGACAATCTTTTTGTGTACTCAAAAAGTGAGTACACTCTAGAATCGGTTAGCGTGTCCGGCCGACCGTTTACACGATAACTCTTCACAATTATCTTTGATTCAGCTGAAATTTTGTGCACAGAATTGTCTGATCAATATTTCGGTCGAGTTCGAAGATGAGATGGATCCGTCAAGAAATGGCTGAGTTATCGAAAAAATTGTCATTATTGACCAGACCATCCGTGATGGGGAGGGCACAGGCATTTTTTCAAAAAAAAATATTTTTCTCACAATTATTCACAACATATATAAATTGACTCAGTTTTTAACGCTGATTCCGAATCTGATATTAGTTTTGAACCAAATCGTAGCTTTCTAAGAAAACATCGCCTGAAAAAGGTGTAAAAATACATAAAAACTGTATGGAGAAAGCAAATAGTCTAGATATGTCTCAGATGATAAAAAACAAAGTAAATATAACTTTTCACTTTTTGAAGTACACATAAGACTCGGATTTAAATCCGAGGTTTTCGCATTTATTTAAAAAATGTTCGGGTTAAATTTGGCGTAACTTCATTTTTGAAAAAAAAACGTTCGAATTCAGTTTGATTCATTGTCAGTCTCTATCTCCGAGTGTATATTTGGTCAATACTTGAATTCGACACATTCACGTGATCAATGAGCGTTTTTGTGTACTCAAAAAGTGAGTACACTCTAGAATCGGTCAGTGTGTCCGTCCGGCCGTTTACACGATAACTTTTGAAAGAATAGTCCGATTGTCATGAAATTTTCTACACAGTTCAGTCTTAACAATATCTCGGTCGAATTCGAAGATGAGCATGATTGGCCTAGCCGTTCCGGAGTTATTGCAAAAATAGTCATTTTTCCCTATGGCTTCCTATAGGAAAATCGACTTATTCTCACTTTCGTAAAAAACTTTTACTATCATATTCAAATAAAATTCCAACTATTATATACCATTCGATAGAGAATTTCACGAGCTACAAAATGATATATGAAACATAAAGAAACACGAAGGCTAACTCACCTATTGCCAAGATAATCAGACGGAAATAGGTTCTGTTTTCGTTCACGCTCTAGTTGATCCGAAAATGGAGCTCTACCTTCCGATCACGGACATGATACTTCGAGGTTTTTTGGGGCGGAGAACTCGAATCTGTCATCCACTTGCCTTGAAATACCATTGGTTGAGCAGGAATCAATAGAAATCAAGTTATAGGAAAAACGACTTTCTGAGAGTAAATTAAGGCGAAGAGTTCAAATCTGAGCTGTATTCGCCCCCAAACCCTATTGGTTGAGCAGTAGTCAATAGAATTCAAGTGTTTATAGAAAAGGTTTCCCAAACTAATTTGTATATCCACGCATTCTAGGATGACTGATTTGTCTCATTCATTTTTTGAAGTACACATACCTCTCGGACTTAAGTTCGAGGTTTCCACATTTATTTTTTTTATTTTCGTTTATGTTATGAATGAAAAGAACTATTGTTGCATTAAAACATATACAATGGTTCATTATATTAACAAAAGAAAACGATTCATCTACTCTCTTCAAAAGTTTGTCAAATTGTCATTTGTTTTCTCATAGAGAGAGAAACATCTTGTTAGGATTTAAAGAAGTCAGTTAGAGTTGTGATATTAAATGTTCATAAGTAACTATGATACCTGTCTTGTTGGCAACTGTAGTCTCTTCTATATATCAATTAGATAGAACTTTTCTGTATTAGCATACATATTATTTAGAANGATAGGAAATTTTGGATATTCCTCTATTTTAAAATTAGCAGGGCAGGGCAGGGCAGGTTACAGGTTACATTAGAAAGTTTTAGGGCAGGGTCCGCAAAAATATTCACAGGGCAGGGCAGGATCAGGTTACAAAAAATTTACAGGGCAGGTTACAGGTTATAAAAATCCTGCACCCTGCAGCCCTCTACTTCTCTCTTCAGATTTATGTAAAAATTTCATCGCGATGGTAAAATTAAAATTTACTTTCTATAGCTCGAGTAATCAAAATATATAGTGAATAAAAGTCTAATTTAATAAGCTACTTTTTATCCTTGTTGATTTAGAGCTACGTTTTTTGCTATCAATATTAAAAATTTCATAGAATTCTGGTTATATCTACGTATCGAAAAGTGTGCGCTCTTCATATTCAATTGTTCACTTGAATATTGTAAACAGAAAACTTAATAGAAATGTCTATAAGGAAAATTTATTTAAATTAAATTAGTGAATATTTTATCAATAGTTTCTATAAGTTACTTTATTCATGATTAATCATATCAGATATTGAAATAATTTACAGTAGAGCAGAGATTGGTAATTAAAGTACAATTTTCATCAGTTTCATCCTTGAGTACTATATCAAAGATCATGCTACTAATGATTTATAATTTTCGAGAAAGCCATTATCTTTATATTCTATCTAAAGTTTCTAACTTACGCATCGAAGTCCTTTTTCCATTGGATCAACCATAAAAATGCCACGAGGACTAAGAACATTTTCATTTTTTTCTGCAATATATTTAGCAGCACGTTTAACACACTAAATATTTTCATTTTTATTAAAATGAAAAAAGCAAACATGCTTAAAAATTTTACCTTTTCATAATGTGTAGGCATACAAAGTAAAAGTAAATAACCTGTTAAACAAGCACAACAATTTTCCATAAATGATTTACACGATAAAGCTTCAGCATTAGCGAAAATTGCATTTATATCGCGTATTATTTCAGTGAATTCGTTACAATCAATCTAAATTAATTAAAAAATCAGAACTAATGTAGAATAGAAAAAAATAAAAATGATTTACTCTTCCATCAAGTTCAGAAGGAAAACGATCTTGAAATTTTACACCAGTCCCCTCAGAATAATCACGTTGAATAAATAATTTAATTGATTGATCATTTGTTAAACGAGTAGTATCGTCCATCTCTCAAATAGGTTTACTTCAAAGTTTCGTAGACAAACAAAACGAAGAAGATGAAACAACAACGTCTTGTTTTGTTCAATGATTGGCGGATGAGATACAATTAGTCAGAGAGTTGACATTACTAGATGACGCTACTGCACGACAACACTTTATTTCATATGAGTAGCAACGAACAATAGGGGAACATAAGTGTTCAAGAGTAGAACAGTTTTTACTCATAAAATATATTCATCTATAGGAAACACTGTTAAAAGAGAGAACAATAATATTGCAGATATGTCATCGCATATACAATGTTCATATACTAAAATACAGAAGAAAAACAATTAGTTGAAAGCTTTTGTTCCAGTTATTAATTTAAATATTTGTGTATGCATATGGTGTACGCTGACTTTCACGGTGTTGCACTCTTTTTGTTTTGTTTGAAACCGAAAGTTTCGTGTTGGTTTTATTCTGAAATTTTTCCTAAAGTTGTTTTATTATTCGATAAAAGTAGACTATGTACGATGACATTGGCAATACTTCTTTTTGCATTATTTTTACTATGATCGGTTACTTTCTTTTGCCTGAAAAAAAAATCGAATTTTT